TTTTAATAGTTGAAATATATATATATATATATATATATATATATATATATATATATGCTGACTTCTCGCATCATAGAATCAGCATCTAAAATAACTTCGCATAGTAATCCTCATATTAACAATATACCAGTAGAGAGAAGTCCTTAAATATTCTAGTCATTAAGTGGTGAGGATTTTTTAGACGATTATTTGGTACACAATACCATTTTAAGGCAAGTGATCCTAAGTCTGTAGAGCAGACAGCCAAGCAGTGATTTTAATAAGTTATATATACATGCCTCAATCAGGCTTGGAAGTGTAGAAAAAGAGGATTTACTAACCATTCTGCAAAATATATATGAAAATTTGCTCCCCTTTTAGGATGCTAAGGGATTTACAAGCTGAAGGAAGTAGGCCTACCAATATGCGGCCGGGAAATGAAGCAAGCTAACGGGTGTATAATGAACAAAAGGAGCAATCTATATTTTGTAAAGTAAATGTCACGGAATGAAAAAATTCTGAAGGAGAAAGCCTTTGAGGAATAATTGAATTAAAGAAGTTAGGAAATTAAGTTTAATCTCAGCCAAAGTGAAATTCAAAATGGCCGCCTTCGAATGGATTGAAGTGCCGAAAAGAAAAGCCCTGACCAAAAGGGTTCCCACGACCAAATGGATTTTGTTGGTGCCCTTGTTGTTCGGGGTCTAGCGGATCAATACCACTATCATACAATTGACGCTTTTCTAAATAAAGGAATAGCAAATAAGTATGTTAGCTAACCAGATAATTTCAATAAAAAGTAAAAATAAAGAATAATAATACAAATAATATATGCCATGGTCTCAACTAACAATTAGTATCTCAACCTCAAAATTAGAATGTCGTCTCTAAATTTATTATATGATAATTTGGTGATATAAAATCGATGAAGAATGAAATTTCTCTTGGAGAGCGTATAAAGAAGATCTCTTGTAATTAAGAGTTTAGGAAGATCTAAACTAGATTAAAAACCAAAAATAGTTAGCAGAGTTCCCAAAAGTTCCATTTACAGAAACTGAAAAATGTGATAAAACAAATCTATAGATGCAGTCAAAGTCCTCTTCCTCTCCAAGAGGAATATTTTGTTTCGTTTCAAAAATTCTATTGACGTCAAAGATGTAAACCAAGAAATCTAGGCTATATACTAAGATGACAATCATGTAATTAATCCTATGATTACATGAAGACTTGACTACAATATATACGAACTGGTAAAATATGCAAACCATCTTCCCTTTTAGTGGCCCCAAATAGGTCTGATGAAAGCGACTGAAGTTTTATATACGAAGAAAATAAGGTCTTCAAAGAATCTATTCAGATAAGATTGTTGTGAAGACTTTCATTTCGTATGGAAGAGATTCGTGAGTAAATTTCAGCCGACTGATTCGCGTTCTACTGCAGCCGTTTAGCATTGATACGACGTTCAGATTGATGCAGTCCATCCTCTAGGCATGAGTCCCAGTTCTGACGATGCTCGTCAAATGTCGAACGAAAGCTTAACCTGTCTTCGCCCTAAACATTGGAGGATGTCTCGCGGATTGCATCAACCTGAAGGTCATAGTAAGACCAAACAGCTGCAGAACAATGCGAATTAGCCGGCGTCTTCTGATGAGATGGACCTACGAATCTCTCCAACATGTATTTCCATACGAAATGGAAGTCTTCACAAAAATATATTTGTTTTAACAGTAATCAATATCGTGTTGGTTTGACCTCGTCATCGCAAATTTGCCGAAGTGTGACAAGGAGACATTGTAGAACGTACTTATTCCTGCGTCATTTGCCCTAGTACTCATGATGAGTTCCGGCATCGGACCCTTGACTTGGTACATTCCCAGAGATTTTGCCGGTACCGTTAGTGAGAGAAACAATAGTTAGCACTGAGTTACAATTTATCAGCGTGACGTGAAGAAAATCCCCTCAACCAATTTTATGTTCAACCACCATGGCATAATTCCATGCCTCTCACTGAAGATGCCGACGAAACATCTGGGAATGTACCAAGTCAACGGTCCGAGGCCGGAAATTATTATGCTAAAGGACACAGGAATAGGTACGTTCCATAAGGTTTCCTTGTCACACCTCGAGCAAGTTGCGAATACGAGATAAAACCAACATTATACAGCTAGGGGAGACTGCGACTAAATAAAAGGCCACACCATCTTGGCCTTCAGATATCAGTAATCAATTTCATCTCCTTTCAAAATAGCAATTCGTTTGGACACTTCTTTTAGCCAAATGACAAAGCCTATCAAACGGTTTTGCATAAATATATCTAATAGGTTTCTTATATTTTTTGGGATAAAACGAAGTGGGGAAGTCTTTCATTCTCGAGAAACATAGCTCTTTAAAAAAAGTGACAAAGAATGCTGAACTTCATACACTAAAGGTAGTGGGCTGAAACTTCTTGAAATGAATTGTGATTCAACCAACCCTTAAAATTATTTCTGAAAGGTAGTAAATGGAAACCATTAGTGGTTTTTAACTATCAGCTAGGATGTACGCTCGCGACCGGCTCATTAAATAGTGTTTTATTATCTAAGAAGAAGCTTAATATTCAAGATTCTATTGCTATTTCTTTTTTATAATAAATCCAGAACTATTTTGAATGATTTTTATCATAAAAATTGAGTGACTACTCTGTTTAAAAACAAAATATCGAGAAAATGACTGGTATATATATATATATTAGCGACGTGTTACCACGATGCGTGCAGCCCGATTTCGAATTATATTGGGAGCTTTGACGAGACATAAGTGAGGTCAAAATTTCAGTCTACCTTGCGAGAAAAAACCTTCGATACAAGGCTGAGTTAAATTCAGCGGCTATTAATACAATTATAGGAAACTTCCACTATCAGTCCTTAAACAACCTTAAGTGATCTAGCTTTACCTAAGTTCTTAACTAAGAATAGCTGATTTTATCGAAAAATATATGCATAGGTATCGCTATTGAGTGTTTGCACAATGAGCAACTAAGAGATGAATCAGATTTATAACTGTTTGAGCCAATAAATTGACATAATTCGAGTGAATTTATATACATGCCTCCCAGCCAGCCCCGTCCTGCCAGATTGATTGAATGAAATCAATGGATCAATTGCAGTCAAAACAACCAAACACAAAGCGAGTCTAGGAATGGATTTATGATGGCAAATTATAGTGATGAATGTAAATGGAGATTTAATAAGCAGCATGGTATTTAAGTGGAGATTAGATAGTTCAGAGGATTTATATGAAGGCTTACTTGGTTTCGATAAATTTATTGAATTTGCATTGTTGTGATGACTGAGTAAAAGTGACTGATTAAATGATTTGTAGTGCTTATTATCGCTGCATTGCAAGGACTGTGCACTGTGTTTTAAAAATGAAGCTAAGATTGACGCAGTCTGCTAAAGAGCATCCTTTGGTTCGGATAAAGACGAGATAAGCTTTCGTCCAGCGTATAGCAGACAGTGTCAGGGCTGGATCCCATTCTTAAAAAGCTTCAATTGTATTCAAGAAACCTAACCATGTCTGTTAATCCATTATCCAAAAAAAAGTACCTGATACAAGGCTTAATCAGATTTTCAATATAGTTATGATGCTACAGAAGAATTTAGTTAGCCCAAAGGACGCCATTGCTCGAGGTTACTAAGATTCTGTGCCTGGCATTTACAAGATGGCATACAATTGTAACAGATAGATGCAAAATGTTTGGCCAATAGAAAATCCATTCATACATGAATGAAGTTAGATTAAATATTGGCCATCTTGCTGGTGCCTAGATAATTTATAACAGCACAAAAAATGGGAGCAAACAAACAAAAGGAATTTTGCAGAGAAAGCATATGCAGTGCGCTACTATATTATTCTAACGCTATTATATGATAGATACTGTGAATAAAGCAGAGAGATTTAATAGAACAGACGCAATAATACCTTAATTAAAGCGTATATATTTAGCAAAAATGAGTAAAGATTAAGAATAAGACTAAATAAGAATGAAGAAAAACCATAGAAAAACAACAAGGCTAGTATAAACCATTCTACTACACAGACAAACTGACCTTGATCTGTAAGAACTTCTTTGGCAGCGGTTATATCAATAAATTTCTTTTCCGCCTCCCTTTTTTCAGCCTCTGAAGTGAACCTATCTGGATGATATTCAGCAGCCAACTTTCTGTAAGCCTTCAATACGTCTTTTTTGTTTGCACCGCGGGTAAGACCAAGAATCTTGAAGTAATCACGCCGTGTAGATGCCTTACTCAGGCGTTGAGCTCGTTCCATACCCTGCTTTGCACGCGGATTATGCTGTTCATGCTCTAGAATTTTTTTATACGTCTTTATAGCTGAAAATAAAAATAAGGAACAAAATCCCGATGTAAAATAATTGTAAATCAAAAATCGACATGATCATAAATGACGATAAAGCCTGAAAAGAACATCAAAATAAATATCCTTCATAGATGATGTACAAATTTATATGCCAAGAGTAACAAGATTTCGAGAAATCTCCTGGGGTAAAAGTGTTGTGAGGACTTTCACTTCATGTGAAACT